CCCTGTCTGGCTGTATTTCAGCATGACAGGGTGGCACTCACATCTACCTGATCATGGGTGTCTGCACTTCCATGTCTTCCCATGTTCTCCAACATCATCACTTTCCTGATCTGCAAAGCACCTCCTCTTCCCAACTCCCATGCTCCCTGCTACTCTGGAGGATTTGGTTCTTGTAGTCAGTGATGGAGGCTCAGAATCTCAGAGTCTTCTTAACTCTTTCCTCTTCTTCCCCCACAGCCACTCAGGCATTATGCTTTACTGATTTGTGCTTTGCTGTGTCTCTCCAAGCCCTTTCCTTATTACTTTTTTCGCCTTAACCCTGGTTCTGTCATGGTGACTACACAATGAGAGTGCTTGGGATCCTGACCCAGCTTCATGCTTTCCGTCGTCAACACAACTCACTGAGCTCTTTTAGAATATTGTGCTAGGAAATGGGGTGGGTAAGAATGAGACCGACAGAGCCCTTCCCTGGAGGACCTCCATGCCAGTGAAAGGGACAATAGAGAGACAAAGATCTCTCTCTCTCTCTCTGTGTGTATATGTGTGTGCTTGTGTGTGTCTGTGTGTGTATAGTGTGTCCCTGGGTGGCGCAAATGGTTAAGAGTTGGACTACTAACTGAAAGTTTGGAGGTTCAAACCCACCCAGAGGCACCTCAGAAGACAGACCTGCGACCTGCTTTTGAAAAGTCACAACCTTGAAAATCTTAACGAGCAGATCTGCTCTGACACACAGTGGGTTGCCATGAGTTGGAATCAACTTGATGGCAACAGTTTTGTTTTTTGTTTTTTAAAATACATAAATGTTATATGTAATATATGTAAGATACATACATATAAAATATATATTCTATGTATATACTATAGGAGTCCTGGTGGCACAGTGGTTAAGAGCTACTGCTAACCAAAGGGTCAGCAGTTCGAATCCACCAGCTGCTCCTTGGAAACTCTATGGGACAGTTCTACTCTGTCCTGTAGGGTCACTATGAGTTGGAATCAACTCGATGGCAACGGGTTTTGTTTTGTTTTTTAAATGTACTATATATATTGGAAACCCTGGTGGCGTAGTGGTTAAGAGCTACGACTGCTAACCAAAAGGTTGGCAGTTCGAATTCACCAGCTGCTCCTTGGAAACCCTATGGGGCAGTTCTACTCTGTCCAATAGGGTTGCTATCAGTCAGAATTGACTCGACGGCAACAGGTTTGGTTTATTTTGGTTTTACTATATATATGTGCTACATATACATACATATACATGAATGTATACATGTATGTGTATATGTGTGTGTGTGTATATATAATCATAACACAGAGGATCTTATGAGAGGTACTCAATAAATTTGCTCTAAATAAATGAATGACCAAACAATACAGTAAATATTTCATGGTTCAGAGTGAGAACTCCAGCCAGGAGGAAAGATTTTAGCAGGGAAGTTGCAACTTGTAGGACAGATAGGACTTCACAGAAACAGATAGGTGGTGGGAGGGAATTCCAGGTAGGGAAAACGGGAGAGCAACATTTACAAATAGGGTTTTAATGGGAGACTTCAGAGGTCAGTTAGCCCAAATGGCCTGGAAGGCTTCTCAGATTGGAATAGTGCAGAGAAGGCTGGAAAGCCAGAGCACGGAGGCCTCGCATAGGGAGTCTGACCTCCTGAATGGTTGTACAAAGTGCCCATACATTTGAACTTCAGATGCTTTTTCCTCATGTGTATGGCCCAGTGCATTTATGGACGCAGTATGCTGTTTTACAATACAAGTCGTGATGAAGAATTTCTCTAGTGGCAGATGCTTTAGTAAGACTTCAGGGAAGAAACTCTTTGCTTTTATATTTCATAAATTCTTAAAAATTAGACATGGTTCAGTTCTGTAAGGCTCATTTTACCCTTGCTATTCTTGATGCAAGGAGCCCTGGTGGCACAGTGGTTAAGCACTCGGCTGCTCACCAAAAGGTCTGAGGTTCAAACCCACCAGCCACTCCATGGGAGACATCTATGGCAGTCTGCTTCTGTAAAGATTACGGCCTTGGAAACTTTATAGGGCAGTTCTACTCTGTCCTGTAGGGTCGCTCTGAGTTGGGATCGACTGGATGGCAGTGGGTTTTTGATTTGGATTCTAATGCTTGCTTATTCCTGAGAAAGCATCCTCCAGAGGCACGATGAGGTACAGATTTAGATACATGAGTGCATATCCACACGTTTTCATGTTTATCCTTTGAAATATGACTTACTTCCTATTATAGTTCAAGTCCCTTAGGGCAAGGGCTGTGTCTTACTCATTTTTTTATCAGCAGTGTGCCTAGCATTAAGCTGGTTACATCAGAGCATTTGAAGAAAGTTTGTGGAATGCATAAATAAATAGTAAGCTACTTGAAATTCACAATCATTAGGAACAGCAGTAATTGTGGAGGCCCAGGCAAAGATCCTTAATGCTTTCCTTAGACTTTTTTTTTTTTTCTTTCAATTTCCTTTGAGTTGAGTGTCTTGATTTTGCTAGAAATGTACACAATTGCAGGAAAAAAAGGATGAAATTAAAACATTTATATTAGACTTGGGAAAACTATCCAGGTTTCACATGCTTGCCCCTTCTCAGCTTGTGTTCTGCTCCATCCTCTGCGCTGAAAACAAATGGTAGCATCTCACAGCCTGGTGGAAAACATCTGCCCAAAGCATCATGGCTCATCCTTCACCCTAACCTTCTCGGCTGCTCTGGTTTCATCCTTCAGAGTATTTAAGTACTTGACCATGTACGGTATAATCCAGTTTATTGGTACATCACTGCTCTATTGGGTATGAACCAAAATCATTTTTTCCCAGCTTTAATTGCATTTACATTCCTGGCTTATTCTTTGGGGTATGGCTACTGCAGAAGATTTTTTGTAGGCTTTCCATTTTATTTCCCATTTATGTCAACAAAGTCTTTGAGTAGAGCAGGTGTCCATGTCTCTGGGGACTGGGAAGGAAGAAGATGTGGGCTGCCTCCCATGTGGATTAGCTTCTGCCTTGTTGAGCAGAGGCTGCAGGTGGGGTTGCTTGCCGAGGTCTCCGCTCTCTCATTGCATGCCAGTACTGCACATTGTCTTCTGTGACCTGTCCAAATCTACCACCTAACCAAGCCTCAGTTAAAGGAATATGAGCATTAATGGAACGTTTATAAAAGGAGAAATATCTGCTTTTTAACTTCAGTTTTCACTGTAGTTTTCCTCTTTCATGTTCATGCCAGATCAGATTGTTACTTTGAACTCCTTCTGGAGTATGGAAGTCAACAAGACCCATGTCATCTCGAGTATTAGAGTCACATTCACACTTCCGAAAATGTGAGAACACCTGTCCTTTAGCCTGATGTCTCTAGGGACCTCTAAAGTACCACACAGTGCAATTCTCAGGAGGCATCTGTTGTTAGAATGTAATGAGTTACCATTAAGTCAATCCTTAACATTTTGCACCATATCATAATATTGTATTGTACTTATAATGTAAATGTGTAATCTTCTTACTTCACTGGAAGATTGTTGAAAATAAGTACTGTGCCCAATTCATTTTATATCCTCTGTGACTCTTAGCATAACTCTGGTATTTCATACACCCTAAATAAAAGTGAGTGAGTGAATCAATAAGTAATGGAATTGCTGAAGGAGAAAATGAATGAATGAATGAAAGGTTAAATAGAGAATGGAGAGGATGAGTGAATGACTAAGTGAATGAATATCAACAGGCTATTTAAAATCAAATTCCTTTTGAAATATAAAAGAAACTTGGAGAAGTGAATAGTCTATAACCAGTTATTGTTTTTGTCTTTGTTTTTTTTCTTAAACAGAGAAGGCCGAGCTGCTCTGGTTTCATCCTTCGGAGTATTTAAGTACTTGACCATGTACGGTATAATCCAGTTTATTGGTACATCACTGCTCTATTGGGTATGAACTAAAATCATTTCTTCCCAGTTTTAATTGCATTTACATTCCTGGCTTATTCTTTGGGGTATGGCTACTACACAAGATTTCATGTTTTATAAATATATGATATTTTTCAAAATAGGTGTCTTCAGACTTGGGGACCTGGTATAACTGTGTGTGAAACATGGAGCTAGAAATAAGTAGATATGGATCAGTTTGCTATGGGTGTTGCTTTTCACTAGATAAGCTGAGATACTTGACCTCTCCAAGCTTCTATTTCTTCACTTGGAGAATGAAGAGAGCTTCAAAGCAGCCTAAATATAACGCATCAGGAAATGGATCAGTCTCCAACTGTGGAATATTTTTGGCAAAAGAAAGATTAAGGAGAGATAAAAAGGAAAAAAACAGTTGTTGAAGTTGACATTGAAGGACTAGAAAGCTAAAAACAAGTTCTAACACAAGAACTTTACCTCTGAGCCTACCAGAACTTAAAACATCAGTAAAAGATTAGTAATTCTTTAAAAAACAAAGCAGAAGACTAGCAATTCCTAAAAAATGGCTTTAAATTAAACACCAGTAGTCATCTAAAAATTCATTATCTGTGTGGAAGAAATATGGATAGGTTGAAAGTAATCTTAATTAATCCAGTAATAACTTGCTCTACAGTAAAAGAATCCAACAAGCTCAGGAAACACTTCAGGAAGGGAAGATTTGAGAGGCAAATGAGAAGACCACAGTACTCCAGCATCTGGTGGGCTGTCGCTTACAAGAATTGCACACAGAGGGATGAAGGGGCAGCTAGTGGGGTGAAACAAGACTTGGATTGGGAGTCAGGATACCTGGCTCAAGTTCTGCCTCCATCAAAAACAAATTAGGTCTTGCCCTTGGCCAAGCCTTTATCTACCTTGGGGAAGTTGGGTTGACTGGTTTCCAGAGCCTTCCATAGTTCTATGAGAGTGGTGCCTAGAATGAAAACTAAAGCTGCCTTTGAAAACTTCTTGCCCTGTCTCATCCTACATATATGCAGGTAGATATAGATAGATAGATATACATTTTCCACTCTGAGGGAAAAGAATACAAGAAATAAAGGTAAAGAAGACAGAAAGAATTAGAGGATGAAAAGGACATGGTGGGACCATTTGCAACCTCTCAAAAGTGTGAAAGCAGAAATTCAGTTCCAAAATCACCATGGCTGGTGCTGGAACCGTAGTCTAATCTGAAGCTATTCACTCTGATGATCTGGACTTCAGTAAGAGTGCCCTTGCCCCAAGGACTTCACCAGGCACATTTTGGGCCTTGGGTTTATCCTGTAATATTTTTTTTATGTGCATATTGCTGGTCTGTGGTGTGCTCACCAGATTATAATTTAGTGTTCAGTCAAGAGCTAAGAAGTAGATAAATGGACCTGGCTGCAAAAGGTATTGGAAGGCAAGTTCCCGAAGAGTAGCTGTTTGACTTTTATATTTAAATACTTCAACTCCATAAATGTGAAATTAAAACAATTCTATGTCTACATATATCTTAGAAAGTCACATGTACCAGACTAAAGTCCGCAATGGGCTCACTTACTTTAAGGGCACTGGTTCTTCTTGTGAGGGTGAATGGCCTCCAAGAGAACTGAATGCAACCCATGAATGACAGTGGAGAACAGCACCCGTGGACTGATTTGAGGACTGACTGCAAACTCTAAATGGTTTGAAGTTCCCAGAGGAACTTGCAGACTTCGATATCTTATGTTGGGAATTCAGCTGTCAAGGCCTAGACAACAGCTGCTAAAATGACTGTGTCGGTAGAGGGCGTTCCCAACTGACTCTTGTTGCTAATATGGAATTAAGTTAGACACTGGGACAATGGTGATCTGATTTCATTCCGTACAATGAACTGCTGACGATCTTAGGTAAGTCATTGGACTTTTTCTTCATCAAGAGGAAAGAAAAGTAACAGCTGCTTCCTGACTACTTAAAAAAAAAGTGTTAGCATAATAAAAATGCTACCATGGTAGAAACCACATTTTTATCCACTTTTCTTTTCCTTTCAGCAACTACAGCTCTTTGGAAATTACCAATATCTCATGCAAGATGTAGCCATTACGTTGATGGTCTGCTTAACAAGTAAGCTCGTTAGCAAAGTAAACTATTATTTGTATGTATCCATGAAATTCTAGAAATACTCACGCCAGTAGGATCTTCTGAGAAAGATGTGGTCTCATGACTAAAACCTGATTTATGTATGAATTTTTTGAAAGTGGTGTTAGGGGTGAGGTGAGGCTGGAAGGCCCCAGACTTGTCATTAAAAATATCCTGATAGCAAAGAGGTCTTGGCCAAGTAAAATTGTCAATGTATTTTGAATTCTTGTAGGTTTGTGTCTTATAGAAAAATGCACAAGAAATCTAGAAAGAGAAATTTTTTTAAACCCAAAGTTCATTTTCCATTATTCAACTATGCTTCACATTGACACAAAACCAAATTTCTGCTAGGTCTTTGACGTGTGAGAAAAAATGCTAGCATTTTATTCTAGTGGAATTCTCTCAAAAGCGAGGTGTGGCCTAAAGCAGCTATTGGTCATTTCCTTCCTTTGAGATGACACCTATAAACTATTTCCCATCAAGGAACTCAGGGCTTCATCCTAACTCTAAGTGAGAAGAATAACTTCCTCAGCAGAGAGCAAAGCAAAAGAAAGGCATCGTTGTCCCTTTTACCTTGTTCAACAATGGGAACATTATGAAAAATAACAGATATAATATCAGACAGTACAGGATATTAATAACCTTGAGAATTCCATGTAGCACCTTCAAACGTGAAACTGATACTGAAGTTATTTATTATATCATCCCAGTGTTGAATTTTACCAGGTTCAGAGATATAGGTAATATTAATTTTGATTCTTAGGGTAGAAATATCTCTTTCTAACCAACTTAAGTATTTTTTCCTACCTGTTATTAACAATCACATGACAGGATAATTGTGAATCAATGATATTGTTTCTGCAGTGTTGGCTATTTATAAGCCATCTGCAAGATTTACTTGTGAACATGGTCAATAATACTGAAAAGAAAACGCACAAACAAGAAGCACCACGAGGTTCCAGGAGATAAGCCACCAGGTAGTCGTATGGAAGTAAAGGTCATGTACTCTCTTCTGCCACTCCCTAACTCTGGGACCTCTGGCAATTTCTCGATGAAATAAATGTTTCCTTAGTATGAAATAGCCTCATAGCATTGTCATGAGGATCAGATAAAATGATGCTTGTAACCTGTCAACACAGTCCACGGCACATAGTAAGCACTCATATTTTGATAGATTTCATTCTGCACCTCCCTCTTCTTCTCTTGAGATGACGAGCATATTCAGTGAGCCCTTGGAGAGAGTGAGACTGTGAACAGGTAGACTATTTGATGACGAATCCAAAAACATGGGCAGTTCTAGCTTTGTGTCAGAATATGGAGTTAGCATGGGGGTGAGTCCACTTGATTCTTTCCTGTGGCTGTAGCCTGTTGACCTTCATGCCAGCCGGTCATTCTGTGGAAGTCTGCCTATCATCTGAGTGGGCTCAGTGGGAGAGTTGGGATGACTCAGGGCAGGCCATCACTATCACTTGGAGAAAAAAGCCTCAGCAGGGTGATAGATCAGAAGCATAATGTTCCACTGGGATGTCAGCCTTTAATCGAATTATAATTCAACAAATGTGTAGCTGGTCCAGTAAATGAGCTGAACTCAGGGTAGACTGGTGAAGGTAAGGGTAGAAGCAGGAAACCTTCTGTCTTCAAACACACTCGATTGCTTTCTCATCCTGCAACCTTAGATCATTTTCAAAGCCAGATCATTTTCCGGTCAGTTCCAGGTATTACATGATCTCATTCTTAAATGTGAAAAGTCCAGTTATTCTAAATCAGCATTTAATGCTTTAATCCGGTTCAAAGATTTTCTCCTCCTGCTAGGTCAGGACTGACCTGTGGGTTGGAGCAAGCAGTGGAAGACAAGGCCGTGGTCTCTTTCCTCTCCTTGTATTACCTACACTGCATCCCTGCTTCTGGGGGAGGAGAGCAACAAAAACCAAGGCCTTTTTACTAAAGTGATGCTATTACAGTTCTCTCCTGCCTGTCAAATGTGCTCCAATGTGGCAGGCATCCAAATTCAGGTAATCTGTGTGGGGCTTCTTGGTAGGCTCTTGGGTTCTTCTGAGATTCCCTGTGGGGTCATCCAGACAACACCACTCCTAGACACGGGTTGCGCTGTCTCCCACTGACCCCTCAGGATTCCTTTCAGTACCTGTGCTGACGTGGTACATACCACATAGATTTTCCCTTCTTCTAGTCCCTCCGGCCCCAGCAGGCTGCCCTCATTAGTCAGGTTCCTTCAAAGACAGCTCTAGTATGGCTAATTGTCATAGCTTCTACTGGAGCCCTGGTGGTGCAGTGGTTAAGAGCTTGGCTGCTAACCAAAAAGTCAACAGTCTGAATCCACCAGCTGCTCCTTGGAAACCCTATGCGGCAGTTCTACTCTGTCCTGTAGGGTCGCTATGAGTCGGAATTGACTTGACGGCAATGGGTTTGGTTTTTCGGTTTTTTACTTGACCTACTAGACAACAGATGTGCAGCCTGCTCTTATTATACTCCTGTCTCTCTCCTCTACTATTGCAACAGGGGAGTGAGTGAAGCTAATCTCCCATCTCAGAATCACTTCCAGTCTCTCCTAGAGCGTCTTTAAGGCCTCCCCTCACTTGACTTGGGGTGATAGTGGAAGAAAACCACAATTCTTGCTGCTCCTAAAAATTCCCTTAAAAGAATCTCTTGGTAATCTCTATGGTCTTCTCCTAGGTAGTCGGTCCATAGGTGATTGGCGGTGGGGGGGTGCTTACAGTTGAAGGATGTGTAAAGATTCCTCTTAGTAGGTACTGTGGAGATATGGCTGTCATGTCTCTTTATACTGAATTGCCTCTTACTATTCATTGTCCTCAAATATAAGACTAGCAAAATTCCCTAGACAATAGGAAATAACCCGTTCAACATTCTCTTACACATATATTTCTCTCTTACAATGTCTTAGGCATATAGGTGCTTGGGGCATGAAAAGACTGTTTGCTGAAATTTCAAGTTCAGTGGGAAATTCACATTTCCAGAAACTCAGCCACTGAAAACCCTAAGGAGCACAGTTCTACTCTGACACGTATGAGCAGAATTGACTCAAGGGCAACTGATTTTTGTTTGTTTGTTTTTCACATACATGAATGAATGTGATCCAAGTTGAAATTAGTAAAAGTTCCAGAAACCAGCAGATGCTTTGGGAGTTCAGAGAAAGAAGAGATTTTGTCTGACAATGAGGGATGAGGGAGGAGATAGCAAGGGAGTAAAGAGAGAAATTACTAGGGATGGCTTCAGGAAAGAACCAGCATTTGCACCAAAACAGGAAGGATGGATAGATTTCAAATATCTGTTGCTAAAAGAAGGGCATTTCAGGCAGAAGGAAGCAGCATGAGCTGGAGAGAGCTGATAAGTACGGGGTATGAGTTTTTCAATTTGACCACACTGTAGGGTATGTGAAAAGACCCAGTGGGAGAGAGAATTTGAAAAGGTGAGTTGAGCCAGATCACAGAGAGTCTTGACTGCCAGGCTGAGAATGGTGGACACTCATCTGCAGCTGTTAGGAGTCACTGAAGATTGGACAATCAATGTGAAATCGCTCTCCCCATAGCTCCTTCACATCCGGGTTTCCATATTAAGGCTTTCTGCCTTAAGCCTGAATTAATAAGGAGAAAAGACAACACTATCACATATTTAATTATTTGCTTGCTTATTTACACTTAACCTGCTTAGTTTCAAAAAGATTTTAAGGCAATATACAGAGGTAGCTAATAAGACATAATACAACAAAGAGAAAACCAAGAGGAAAAGCAAGATGAAGTCAGGAGGTCGATCAGTTAGGAAAATGCGTGCTTTGAAATCAAATTATGACTGAAAGTGGCCCACAAATTTGATTTTTCTCTGTATAGCCACCATCCTGAAGGGGATTTATTCTAGCCCCATTTCTGTTCTCTTTGGCGAGACCCACTTAAGCTAGATCGAGAAAGCAGGGCAGGGGGTGGAGGTTGTTGAAGAATGTAATGCTCACACAAATCTGAGAACCAGAACTCTGAAGCAACTGGTCCAAGGAAGACAAAAACACAACCAAAATTCCAAACCAATTGCCCTCAGGTTGATTCTGACTCATGGTGACCCCATGCGTTTCAGAGTAGAATGGTGCTCCATAGTGTTTTCAATGGCTGTGGTCTTTCTGAAGCAGATTGCCAGGACTTTCTTCTGAGGCTAGAACACTAGAAGGTCAAAAATAGAGGCTACTTTCTTTATTCATAAGAGACTACCTTGTCTCTTTCTTCTCTTCTCTAGTCTTACTCTTTTCATCTCAACTCTTCTACTTATCTACCTTTCAAATGACCCCAAATGGTGGCCCCAGTCTTGAGTTTCCCTGACCTTTCTGCTCCCCATCCCACAGCTAGTTAGTTCAAGCTCTCAGTGTCCCAGCTGCAGATCTTTTGGAGAGAAAATGTCTTGACTCAACTTGAGTAAGATGCTCACCTCTTGATCAATCATTCCTGTGAGTGAGGTCGGGGTCACATGATTCAGATCCATTTAGGCCAAACCCTGCAGCACATGGAAGAAGGAAATTTCCAGAAAAGATGGCTATGGGAGGAAATTCATCCTTCATATAAATATATATTTTGCATAAACTCCATCAGTGCTTCAATGACTCCTAAATTCTTTTGGGTCTTGGCCTCCTTTAAGAATCCGATGGAAGATATAACTCTTTCCACTTTACAAATTTTATGATGCACGCTCAAAATTTTGCATATAATTTAGGTGGGTTCATGAGTCTCCTGAAATTTGACTCGTATACCTCACATCTAAATGATATAAAGTAAATCAACTTCTAGGGAGAAGTATGACTAATTATATCTAAATGATGCTGAACAATTAAAAACTATTCTTGGCAATAGAATTTGAAACTGCTAAGTACTCCCATGCAGCAGGTGCTGTGCTAGGCTCAGTAAGGGATAGAAAGTGGAATGAGACAGGGTTTCTTCCCTCAAACAACTCACTGTCTGCTGAGTGCATGTGTAAACAACTAGATTTAGTGCAAGACACCCTGCACTACAGCAGCAATACGAGCAATGTGCTGTGAGAACTCAGAGAAAGGAATGATTCATTCTGGATAAAATATAATACTTCTCAAATTTGCATTCCTCTGCGTGCAATCTGATAGCATATATCATCATCATCTGAAGGAAACTTGGACAATTCAAAAAAGTTCTTCTGGCTGCTGACAAATAGTACTATCCAAGCTTGTATTTCAGGCTCCTTGTTTTACTCTCTTTAATGTATAGGATCCCTCACACAGTAATCTGCTGTAGTACAGAGAACATGAGGCTTTATAATTAGACAGACTTGAGTTTACATCATCATCCTGTCACTCAATAGCTGTGGGTCCTCCTGGGGCAAGGCATTCTATTTCTCTGAACCTCAGTTTTTTCACCTGTAAAACGGGAGATATAATACCAATACCTATTTTGAGTTGCTTTTTAAAGAAACAAAGATACTATTTATGAAACACTTAGCGCAGCCTCTGGAACCTAGTAGTTGCCCTGAAATGGTAGTCATTGTTTTTATTTTTATTTAGAGTCAAGTATATAGACTCCCTGTCGGGGAGGATGGCCAATGCACCTCATCCACAGCACCACCCATCTGTCGGTGGATGTTGCATGTTGCTATGATGCTGAACAGGTTTCAGTGGAGCTTCCAGACTAAGACAAACCAGGAAGAAAGGCCTGATGCACTACTTCCAAAAATCAGCCAGTGGAAACCCTATGGATCACAGGGATCCAGTCTACAACCAATCATGGGGTTTGCACAGCACTGGGCAGCATTTTGTTCTGTTGTGCATGGGGTTGCCACAAGTCGGGGTCCAACTCAATGGCAGCTAAAAAAAAAACAATATGGAAAAAGTTGAAATATTCTCTGCATGCATACCCTATATCAATCAGCTATTGCCACAACAATGCTGTACTTAAAAAAAAAAAAAAAAACCAAAACTCAGTGGCTTACAACATCAAGCATTTATTTTCCCACCCATGGGTCTGTAGGTTGACTGTGGTTCAGCTGACATAGGTGGGCTCCGCTGAGCAGCTCTGCTTTAGGGTGTAGATCAGTTGGCTTTGGTCCAGGCTGTGGGTTTGATTCAGGTCTCCTTCACATTTTTTATTCTGGGCCCAGGCTGAATTGATAGAATCCAGGGCGTTGACAATCACGGGGGAGCCAGAGAGCAAGCCCAGCCGTGAACACGTGCTTCAGAGCCTCTGCTAACATCTCTTTGGCCAGAGCAAGTCAAAATGAAGAGGAGGTAAAGTACACTCAGCCACTATAGGGCCAATAATTGAGTCTATCACAGTCCCATGTAAAAGACCAGACACTACAACAAGCTCATGAGAAAGAGACCAAAGAGGTAGAACCAAAAACCAAACCAAACTCATCGCCGTCGAGTCGATCCTGACTCATAGTGCCCCTATAGGACAGAGTAGAACTGCCCCATAGGGTTTCCAAGGAGCACCTGGTGGATTTGAACTGCTGACCTTTTGGTTAGCAGCCGTAGCTCTTAACCACTACACCACCAGGGTTTCCAAAGAGGTAGAAGCCAGGTGTAATTGCATAGAGCCTCTTTATGAACTCTCTGGGCACATCGACCTCAGATGCTGGAAGGCAGAGAGAACTCCAGACATGATAGCCTCTGCCTTCTGTGGCCTCAGAGCTTGGCTTCTTTACACCTCTCCTCAGCACTGACCACAGTCCATATCCTGTGCACCCATATTCTTTGTGCACCCATCTGTGTCTTCCACTGGCCTGTGAGTTCTTTGAGGGCAGGAGATACGTCCTCCTCAACTCTTCATTCCCCACATCCCCTAGCACAGCGTCTTCCTGGAGAAACTCTGATGGGAGGGTGAAGACAAAGCCTAGATGGTCATAAACCAGTTGCCACGGAGTCGATTCTGCTCGTGGCGACCCCATGTGTTACAGTGTAGAACTGAACTCCATAGAATTTTTTGGCTGTAATATTTATGGAAGCCGTTCGCCAGGTCTTTCTTCTGCAGCCCTGCTGGTTGGGTTCAAACCACCAACCTTTTGATTCGTAGACAAGGTCAAACCGTTTGCACCACCCAGGGATCTTCTAGAACCAGTTCCCATTGAGTCTGACCCAGGGTGATACCATGTGTTACAGCGTAGAGCTGCTCCTCGGGGTTTTCTTGGCTGCAATCTTTATGAAGGCTGATCACCAGGTCTTTCTTCAATGGTACCACTAAGCAGGTCTGAACTGCCAATCTTTAGGCTAGTAGTTGAGCGCACATCACTTGCCCCACCCAGGGACATGCTAGATTGTCATAGCGCTTTAGAATAACTGAGATGGAAGGGCCTTTGGAGACCATTCAGACATTCCAACACACTGATTTTAAACACGAAAAAATGAAGGCGCAGAGTTGACATGATTACCACCAGAACACACGTTGAATGAGCTGCATACCTAGTTCAGAATTTCATTATACCAAACTGGATACCCACCTCCCACCACCTGCCCACCCACCTACATGTAGGAACACACCCCGCTTCCTTCCTTATAACAAAGAAACCAATGATAAGCTGTGGAAAGGGAAGAGGTGACAGGTATAAAGACAAGTAAAACGCAAGTGATTATGATGCAAACTTTTAAATGTGATGTTTCTAACTCCTGACCTTCCTGAGCTCAGTGCCTGCTTTGACCTGGGTAGTAAAGCATGTTTCATTTCCATCAGCTTGTTAGAGTATGTAGCTTCTAAAAAGCATGTAATCATCTTTTTTTTTGATTGTTGTTCTTTTTACTCTCCACCCATTGCCAACTCCTTTAAATTTCAAAAGATAAATCCTAGGATGAAAACTGCAATATAATTTAACACTCCCATCTGGAGGCAGGATTTTTTATGAGTTCTTTTTCCAAACAGAGTAATGTGTACTACCAGTCTTTCGTTCACACCCTTACCCAGGAGGAAACAGAATATACCTCTGGCATCTAACACAGTGCCTGACGCATTGAAGTGCTCAGAAATGTTATGAGTGAAGAGCAGAGAAAGTCCTTTTTTTTTTAACTACCCAGCCTATGAAGAGTAGTCTAGCTAGATTCCTTCTTATTCTCATCCTAACACTCCACTTTCCCATCTTCCTTGAGAGGAAGTATTAATCCTGCTTATTCCATTTAGAACATCATTTCCTTTTTAACATAACATTCCTACTCAGCATGGTTGTACAGAAAATATGCAATATGATACATTTACTAATCACAGAACTTTGGAACCCACTGCTTTCCTTTCTCAAGATGAAAACAAAGCACAGAGGAGACAAAGGCTGATAGATGGGGATATGCAACTAGGTCACGTGCTCACCTGGGTGTAAACCTTCCATTCATGTTAGCTGATTCCGAACCCTATTGTAAGACTCAAGGTAATATGCATCTTAATTTTTCATTCTCATGGATGAAATTGTAACAGGAATGAATGCATTGTCTTTCAGTGAGTTCAACGCAAGCCTACCCTAAGCTGGCTCCTTACAGACCAGCAGGACAACTCCTGTCTCCCCCTTTGCTGCTCTCGGTTATTTTGAATTCCTGTTTCACCTGCATCGTGCAGATCTGTGCGTTTCTCTTTGTGAAGCAGCAGCCCTGGTATTTTGAGGTCTACAGATGCAGGTAAAGTTCAGTTTCTTAGTTCTCTCCTCTCTGAGAGATGTACAATGAGCAGCCAATGAAATGGTACAACTTGGTTTGAACAGATATCCTAAAATTTTAGTTAGCAAAAGTTGTGTCTCCATACCACAGAACACAAATGGTAGGATAGAACCCAAAAACCCGTTGCCGTCCAGTCAATTGCGACTCATGGTTACCCTATAGGGCAGAGTCGAACTGCCCCATAGGATTTCCAAGGAATGGTTGGTGGATTTGAACTGTTGACCTTTTGCTTAGCAGCCAAGCTCTTAACCACTACAACACCAGGACTCCAGGATAGGACAGAGAACAGTTAATGGATGGAGGGCTGGCATGAGCCATGTGGAATGGGTCGGAGGAGATCTGTCATACTGGTTTTTTGATGTATAGATCCAACTTCAGGTTGTGACTGAATGTATTATTCCCCTGGTGGTTTGGGCATCATATAGACCAGGGATGGCAATCTTTTTTTTCCGTAGAGGGCCAGAGAGTAAATATTTCAGGCTTTGTGGGCTAGATGCTCTCTGTTGTAACTACTCAGTTCTGCTGTTGTACCACAAAAGCAACCAGACAATGTGTAAACAGATGGGCATGGCTGTGTTCCAATAAAACTTTATTCAGAAAAACAGGTTAGATTTGGCCTGTGGGCTGGTTTGCTGTCCTCTGATATAGACACATACCAAGGGCTATTTATTTAAACTAGTTTAAGTTTTTAAAATGAATGTTAAAATAAAAATGTTAGTTGATTGAGTTGGAACACTGAAAGTCCAGTCAATTGACCGAGTTCTAATTTGGCTTTTCTTCTGTCAATGGGTCTCAGAGCAACTTATTCACCTCCTTGGGCTTCAGTTTCTTAAACTATCAAGTAAGGGTGATTTGGTGCAGTGGTTAACAGCTACAGCTGCTAACCAAAAGGTCACCAGTTCAAATCCACCAGCTGTTCCTTTGAAACCCTGTGGAGCAGCTCTACTCTGTCCTATAGGGCCGCTATGCGTTGAAATCAACTCAACGACAATGGGCTTGGTTTTTTTGGTTTAAGGGTGACATGAAGTGAAATATAGATGCTTAAACTTTATTTTTTTCTGAAAAAACCTCACCACCACCTCCCTTCCCTCAAGAATAAAAAGACAGGGAACAAGCTGCTCTTTCTAAAGTAGGAAATGTATAACCTTCCCCACCTCCCTCCACTGAAAACCTCAAGGCACCAGAACCCCAGAAATCAGTGAGACACAGACTGGAAACTACTGGATGTTGTCTAAAATTGTCAATTTACATCCAAAATTCAGTGATTCAAATATTACTTGGGGTATAGAATTCCTTTCCATTTCAAAAGCAGGTTTTTCTCTAGAGTAATGATTATATTCAAAGATGTAAAGTTCGGATTGAATTTAGGAGACAGCATTGTGAGCTGAAAGAGCAATGAGCAGGAAATAAGGAGTTCGGAGCAGCCCTGCCTCTATCACTAACTAGCCGTGTTATCGGAGGCCTCAACTTTCTTATCTGCAATGTAAATGCATTGGACGCCATCTGAATATAAAGGGGTCTATCTATCCCCCTTTGTGCAAGAATGCTTTGGGACTACTGATTGCTTGCTTCATTAATTTATTCAGCAAACATTAACTGAACATCTACTGTATTCAAAGGAGATTTCTGGATCCTAAGGAGCTAAGGATAGTAAGACTGAAGTCTTGCATTTAAGTTCACAGTTGGAAATTAACCTTATCTATAGGGTGGCTCTGGTGACGCAGTGATTAAGAGCTTGGCTGCTAACCAAAAGGTCAGCAGTTTGAATCCACCAGGCGCTCCTTGGAAACCCTATGGGGCACTTCTCCTCTGTCCTATAGTGTCACTGTGAGTTGGAATTGACTGGACCACAATGTTTTTTTTTTTTTTTCTCAAAAAGAAACAGTTATAATAGTAGTTTAAAAGTGTCAAGCCAAATAAGAAAGCTGACCGGAAACTAATTTGTGGGTTTTACTACTGGAAAAATAAAATAAAATAAAGAACATTGCAAATAGATCAGTCAGGATTGGGAAAGCCCATATCTTAAGCAGACATTTTTCTGAGCAAATATTATGTGGCCCCCACTGTGCTAGGTGCTAAGAATTTGTTGTAAATTTGAGTAAAATAAAAACAAAATTTCTACTTTAAGGAATTCACATCCGAGGGTCAGAAAATAAAACTACGTAAACTAATAATTAAGAAAACAATGAACTAAAGGCAATAATAGAAAAGAATAATCGAAATCACTAGTTCCCACTAGTCAGCGAAAGCAAAGACATTTAAGATCTAGTGATGCTGACATTTCAGATCTAGTGATGTTTGAAGGATGAATATTATTTCAGGTGGAGCATTGCAGATAGAGGGAATAGAATAGCTAACTTTGGAGGTGTGCAAATTGTGACATTTGGGGAAACCAGGAATAACTTTATATGTTTGGAGGATAAAGTATATGAGGGGAGCAACAAGAGTGAGGCCAGGGAGGTGGGTTGAGACCAGAGTGTGAAGGGTCTTCTGTGCAAGGCTGAGAAGTTTGAGTGTAATTTATTGGCAAAATACAGCTGTAGATACCTCCTAAGCAGGAGAGTGTCATGTTCAGATCTTTAGGAAGATCCTTTAGTGTGAGGAGAACTTATCAGAATGGGAACTCAAATTCAGGACCCAAGTTAGGAGGCTTGCATTAGTCCATAAAAGAGAAAACACCACACACACACACACACACACACACACACACACACACACACACACACTCAGGACCCAAGTTAGGAGGCTTGCATTAGTCCATAAAAGAGAAAACACCACACACACACACACACACACACACACACACACACACACACACACACACACACACTCTTCATTTACTGTTTGAAATGGAGGGAACTCTATAGAAAATTGTCATCCAATCCCTTTCGAGATGGCTCACTTGTCCTAAATGGGATGCTGGACAAAGCACAATCTTGACTTCCTTTGAATTTCATTTTTGCTTTGTCACTGCAAGAGGTGTACAAAATACATCTTGGTTGTTACTGGAAGAAACAGTTTGAAAGCTGAGGTCTCACGGTGGTGATGAATTTGTATTTTTTCACCAGTTGAATAAAAATGAAATAAAAAGTCTCATAAACGTTGGGGATTCTTTTATAGTGAGTGCTTTCTGGCCAACCAAATGGATTTCTCAATGAATGTGAGTCTGGGAAGAAACTGGACTGGAAATGCAACTCTGACTCCTGGTTCAATTTTAAGTTTTGAGAGCACCACGCTGTGGCCCATCACCACCATCAACTGTATAACCGTAGCATTTATCTTTTCTAAGGGAAAGCCATTTCGAAAACCCATCTACACAAACTGTAAGTATAAGGAAGTGTAATTTTTCTTTCTGGTTATTTTTTGCCCTTCCCCACCCTCTCCATAGTTGCAACTGCCTGGTGAAGTGACTAGATGAGGGAGAAGCATTTGCATTCCTCCAAAATGATGATTGAATTGTAATGGACTTATGCAGTAGAGCCCATGGGCAGAAACCTGTTCATTTGCAGATAAGCACAGACATTACCGAGCAGTCACACGAGTCCTGATCTATTATGAGTCATCAAAAATCATTTTAAGCACACACATAAATGTCATGATATTTTGTAAAAGGCTTTCTAATCAACTCAAATACGAGTTGATCTCTTAGTAGGTTTGTAACACTGGGCAAGTTGCTTTAACCATTCTATGCTCTTACTTCCTTACCTGTAAAATAAAAGTATTGCACACCTCCCAGGCCAGTGGGGAGAAATGAATGAGACATTTTATAGAAAAGGCCTAGTACAGTGTTTATAAAGGGCCTAGCACTTATAGTAGGTGATTTTTTATTTACTTCCCTCACTATATTGCTCTAAGTAGAATTTTTTTTAATTAAAAAAAAAAAAATACACAGCTTTTTGAGGTTACAATTAAGACCTTCAAGGCACAGAAGTCCTATCTTTATTGACCACATGGGGACACTTCTGAGAATCAAAGACGGCACTATTAACAACTATATTGGACTAAAAAAAGGGGCCCAGGTGACACGGTGGTTAAGAGCTTGGCTGCTAACGAAAAGATCAGCAGTTCGAATCCACCAGCCACTCCTTGGAAACTCTATGGGGCAGTTCTACTCTGTCCTAGAAGGTCACTATGAGTTGGAATTGACTCGACAACAATGGTTTGTTTGTTTTTTCTTTTTGGATCATGGTAAGCTTGGAATATGGCCACCCTATCTATCATGTAATTGGTTTCAGTATTATAAATAATAATATGAAAAACATACTCGGACCTAGCTTCTCATTTCTTTGTTGTTGTTGTTGTTAGGTGCCGTCAAATCGGTTCTGACGCATAGTGACCCTAGGTACAATAGAACTAAATACTGCCCAGTCCTGTACCATCCTCACAATCATTGCTGTGTTTGAGCTCATTGTTGTAGCCACTGTGTCTGTCAACTCATCTCGTTGAGGGTCTTCCTTTTTTTTGTTGACTCTCTACCTTACCAAACATGATACCCTTCTCCAGGGACTGGTCCCTCCTGATAACATGTCTGAAGTACATGAGACAAAGTCTCGCCATTCTTGCATCCAACGAGCACTCTGGCTGTACCTCTTCCAAGACACACTTGTTCGTTCTTCTGGCAGTCCATGGTATACTCAATATTCTTCGCCAACACCGTAATTCAAAGGCATCAATTCTTCTTCGGTCTTCCTTATTCATTGTCCAGCTTTTGCATGCATGTGAGGCCACTGAAAATATCATGGCTTGGGTCAGGCGCATCTTAGTCCTCAAAGTGACATCTTTGCTTTTCAACACTTTAAAGAGGTCTTTTGCAGCAGATTTGCCTAATGCAATATATTGTTTGATTTCTTGACTCCTGTTTCCATGGGCATTGATTGTGGATCCAAGTAAAAGGAAATCCTTGACAACTTCAATATTTTCTCTGTTTATTATGATGTTGCTTATTGGTCCACTTGTGAGAATTTTTGTTTTCTTTATGTTGAGGTGTAATCCACACTGAAAGCTGTAGTCTTTGATCTTTATCAGTAAGTGCTTCAAATCCTCTTCGCTTTCAGCAAGTAAGGTTGTGTCATCTGCATATCACAGGTTGTTAATGAATCTTCCTCCAATCCTGATGCCACATTTTACTTCATACAGTCCAGCTTCTTGGATTATGTGCTTAGCATGCAGATTGAATAAGTATTGTGAAAGGATGCAACCTTGATGCACACCTTTCCTGATTTTAAACCAGTCAGTATCCCCTTGTTCTGTACAAATGACTGCATCTTGATCTATGTACAGGTTCCTCATGAGCACAATTAAGTGTTCTGGAATTCCTATTCTTTGCAATGTTATCTATAATTTGTTATGACCCACACAGTTGAATGCCTTTGCATAGTCAATAAAACACAGGTATTCTCTCCTTTCAGCCAAGATCCCTCGGACATCAGCAATGATATCCCTCATTCCACATCCTCTTCTGAATCTGGCTTGAATTTCTAGCAGTTCCCTGTGAATGTACGGCTGCAACTGTTTTCCAATGATCTTCAGCAAAATTTTACTTGCATGTGATATTACTGATTTTGTTCGATAATTTCTGCATTCAGTTGGACCACCTTTCTTTGGAATGGGCACAAATATGGGTTTCTTCCAGTTGGTTGGCCAGGTAGCTGTCTTCCAAATTTCTTGACATAGATGAGTGAGCACCTCCAGTGCTGCATCCGTTTGTTGAAACATCTCAACTGGCATTCTGTCAACTCCTGGAACCTTGTTTTTCTCTCGTGCCTTCAGTGCAGTTTGGACTTCTTCCTTCAATACCATCAGTTCTTGATCATATGCTACCTCCTGAAATGGTTGAACATCAACCAACTCTTTTTGGTACAGTGAGTCTATGTATTCTTTCCATCTTCTTTTGATGCTTCCTGTGTCATTCAATATTTTGCCCATAGAATCCTTCAAAATTGTAACGCAAAACTTGAATTTTTCTTCAGTTCTTTCAGCTTGAGAAATGCCAAGAGGTTCTTCCCTTTAGGTTTTCTAACTCCAGGTCTTGGCACATTTCATTAGAATACTTTACTTTGTCCTCTCCAGCTGCACTTTGAAATCTTCTGTTTAGCTCTTTTACTTCATCATTTCTTCCATTCGCTTTAGGTACCCTACGTTCAAGAGCAAGTTTCAGAGTCTCTTCTGACATCCATTTTGGTCTTTTCTTTCTTTCCTGTCTTTTTACTTTTTTGCTTTCTACTTGTATGATGCCCTTGATGTCATCCCACAACTCATCTGGTCCTCAGTCATTAGTGATCAATGCATCAAATCTATTCTTGAGATGGTCTCCAGATCCAGGTGCGATATACTCAAATCCAGCAGAGCAGTGATTAAGTGCTAAGGCTGTTAGCCAAAAGGTTGACAGTTCAAATCCACCAGCCACTCCCTGGAAACCCTGTTGAAGCAGTTCTAGTCTGTCCTATAGGGTCGCTATGAGTCAGAATCGACTCAACGGAAATGAGTTTTGGGGGTGTCGAGACTTGTTTTAATTTTTTTCAGCTTCTACTCGAACTTGCATATGAGCACTTGATGGTCTGTTCCGCAGTAGGTCCCTGGCCTTATTCTATCTGATGATATTGAGCTTCTCCATCAACTCTTCCCACAGACATAGCCGATTTGATTCCTGTGTTTTCTATCAGTGAGGTCCATGCGTATAGTTGTCATTTATGTTGTTAAAGAAGGTATTTTCAATGAATAATTTGTTAGTCTTGCAAAATTTTATCATGTGACCTCCGGCATTGTTTCTATCACCAAGGCCATATTTTCCAACTACTGATTCTTCTTTTTTGTTTCTAACTTTCTCATTCCAATCACTAGTAATTATCAATGCATATTGATTGCATGTTTGATCAATTTCAGACTGCAGAAGTTGGTAAAAATCTTCATTTTCCTCATTTTTGGCATTAGTGGTTGGTGTGTAAATTTAAATAATAGTCTTATTAACTTATCCTCCTTGTAGGCATATAGATATTATCCTATCACTGACAGACAGCATTGTCTTTCAGGATAGAGCTTGAAATGTTCTTTTTGACTATGAATGTGACACCATTCCTCTTCAATTTGTCATTCCCAGCATAGTAGACCATATGATTGTCTGTTTCAAAATGGCCAATACCAGTCCGTTTCAGCTCACTAATGCCTAGGATATCGATCTTTATGCGGTCCATTTCATTTTTGACAACTTCCCATTTTCCTAGCTTCATACTTCTTACATTCCATGTTCCAATTATTAATGGCTCTTTGCAGCTGTTTCTTCCCATTTTGAGTCGTGCCACATCAGCAAATGAAGGTCCCGAAAGCTTTACTCTATCTCCATCATTAAGGTCAACTGTACTTTGAGGTGCCCTGGTGGTGCAGTGGTTAAGAGCTCAGCTGCTATCCAAAAAGACAGCAGTTAGAATCCACCAGCCGCTCCTTGGAAACCCTATGGGGCAGTTTCACTCTGTCCTGTAGGGTTGCTATGAGTCAGAACTGACTCGGCGACAGTGGGTAGTAGCACAGTACTTTGCGGAGGCAGCTCTTCCCCAGTCATATTTTGAGTGCCTTCCAACCTGAAGGGCTCATCTTCCTGCACTATACCAGAAAATGTTCCCCTGCTATTCATAAGGGTTTTACCGGCCTATTCTTTCAGAAGTAGATTGCCAGGTCCTTCTTCCCAGTCTGTCTTAGTCTGGAAGATCTGCTGAAACTTGTCCTCCATGGTAGCATCGCTTCCAGCATCACGGCAACACAGAAGCCACCACAATAGGACAAACTGACAGATACGTGGTGCTTGATTTCTTTACTGTAACCAAATACCATTATTTATTCAAAGTATGTGAAAATGTTAAGGCTTTTGAAACACAAGTTAAATTGCTTTCTAGAAAATTTATACCAGTTTTCACTCCTATTACCCTTTTTTGAGAGGATTTACTTAATAACAGCATGTCCAACATCGCATAGTATACCAAAAAGTGAAATTTTTGCTGATACAATAAGGTAAAAAAGTGGCATCTCATTTGGTTTTCATTTACATTTTTTGATCACCAGTGAAGATGAACCTATTTTTATGCTATTAGCCATTTCTCCTTCTGTGAATTGTGTATGTATTTATATTCTTTATCCATTTTTTCTATTAGATTGCTATTATTTTTCTTATTTATTTGTATGAACTGTTTATTCCTTTGTGATTTCTTTCCATTACCTTTATTTACAGAAAGTTTTTCCTCATTACAAAATTGGATAGTTCTTTGTTTGTTTTTTTCATTTAATGTTTTTTGTAATCTAATGTTAACTTTGCTCTATTGTTTGAGGTAGGGAT